TCACCCGAGCGTAGAGTTCGACACGAAATTGGTCATGAACCTGTTTCAAAGCACGCAATGCTACGACAGTGGCCACTGTCGCGTGAGCAAAGTGAGTATATCGATGGGTTCTTTGTCCAAAAGCAAGCTGCTGGTTTGGTGAGGGAGAGCAAGTCCCCTCACAGCGCGCTAATCAAATAGTCGATAACGTAACGTTCACGTCGTTTATAAGTTATAGGCGCGGACCATCTCCGCTCAAACGCCGATTCCGCGCAAAAATGTCATCATCCACCGTATATCCGGGTGTAAAACAGCTGAGTGTACTTGATTTGGTTGATGGATATTACCAAATCTCGATGAGGAAGGAGGACGTCCCTTTGATGGCTTTTGATACATCGTCCGGTTTGCTATGGAAGAGGCTTGTGATGCCACAGGGACTATCCATGCCCCAGCAACGTATCATCGATTGGTCTACTAACTGTTTTGACCACTGCGACGCTTCGCACAAACCTATTTGGACGATATTTTTGCTCATTCGAGAGACAAAGATGACAGATCTGTGGAAAAAGTGCACTTGGAGCATCTCCATGTGGTACTGAAATGTATGCGTGAACATTTATTGCAAGCGTATCTTGCAAAACGTAATTTAGGTACCAGTCCTCGGTTTTACATTGGTGAACACAGTGTTTGGCAGACCCAGATAAGGTCAAAGCATCGTTGAGTACAAAATCAAAGCGATTTGAGAAAATGGAATTTTTGTCCGATTATCTACATGGCTCTTCTCGCGTAGCTACGCGGAAATGGTACACTAACTATCAAAATTACTGAAGAAGGACGTACGATGGAATTGTGTGACGAAGCATTCAGTCAAGTCAAGAACAGCTTGACGGAAGCACCCTTGTTTGCTTTACCAGATAATACAAAGCCGTATAGCGGTGTGTGTGACGATTCTGAGGTTGCAATTGTTTTGCATTATTGCAAAATGTTACAATCGCGACAGCTGAAGTCAGCAGAAAAGAACTACACTGTGAAGCATTTAGCAATAAAATATACTTTGATGAAGTTTCGTGTTCACCTCTTGGGTTCAACTCCGTTTGTCGTCTTCACGGATCACGCAAGTTTGCGTTTTGCAGTTCATTCGCCGCACTTGTCACAGCGAATGGCTCGCTGGCTATTATTCCTTGCATTATACTACTTCACGGTCGCGGACAAGTCAGAGAAACTGAACGTGCTGGCCGACGCATTGTCATGTCGTCCAGATCATGAGCTAGCTCATATCAGTTACATTGAAATCGATGTTTCCGATATAATACACCGAGCGTATATTTGAATATGAACATGGTGATGTGATCATCAGTGCACTGTCATCGGGTGGTATGGATTTCCATGACAAACGTTTTGGCCGCTTGAAAATCAAGATTGCATCGTTATGAATGGAAGAATGGTATTCTTCACTATGCGGTTGACGTGACGACTAGCCATTGTTTGTGGATCCCCATAACGATGATTTAAAGTACAGGATAGTGTACGAAGCGCATGTTACGCCGATGGCCGATCAATTTGGCCGCGAAAGGACCTGCCAGTCTCTCATTGCCTGTAGCGGGACTGCCATAGCTCTTTCGCTTATAGGAAGCTAAGCTAATGTTGGTGACCATTCGTTCTATACTCAGAGCTGAAATAGGGAAACGAATCGCAACCCCTAGTATTAAGAGTAAACAGTAATCACAACCTTACCCAAGGAAAATAAACTCGTCCGTTCAAAATGTAAGCTGTATCTTTTGAATTTATTTGCGGCAAAGCCGCCTATATCCAAATCTAACTACTGGCAGCCCAGCCACGTTGTGACTTCTTGTTAAGGTGTAGCCACGCCATTGTGTGGTCACACCATCTTGTGTGACCCACTCCTTATACCAGGGTATGTATTAACTCGTTACAGTTCCCAATCTTGGTGGCCGGCCCCACATGTACACGTGGGTGGCGCAATACGTGATGACATGTGGTGTCTGTCAGCGCGTGAAGAGTGTAAGGCACACGCAAGTGACACTGTGGAGTCTTCCTGTTCCTATTGACTGTTGGAAGTCAGTCGGTCTCGACATTATTTTCGGCTTCTCTGAGAATGCTGACGACCACAATGGGTTGCTCGTAGACTCAGCAATATAGTTCGCATCGCTCCGTGGAGCAATTTCTTTGATGCCAAATCTTCGGCTAGATTGTTCAAAGGTCACTTTTCTTGCAATCAGTGGTTGCCAGGTGCCGTCGTCTCCGATCGCGATACACGATTCACGAGCGGCTTTTGGAAGAATTGTTCCGAATTATTGGCAGCCGCTTGGATATGTCCATGACGGTAAACCCAAAAATCGATGGGCAAACAGAACGTGTCAACGGAGTGATCGGTGACGTGTTGAGAATCTTCCGTGCAAAACTCCTGCAGAATGATTTTTTTGTTATAATTAAATGTAAATGCTATGAGCAATTTGGTTCTTTCATCCGCTTCATATACGCTATTTTAATAGACGGCTTGCGACACCCATAATTATCGCTTTGTGCGATGGGTGGTGACTCGTATGCAAGTGGAAGAGGCGCTCGTTGCCTCACAAATTGACGCAATCAGTGATGCAAATCCGAAGCTAAAATACAAGGACGCCCTGGACTCATTTGTTACGAGTGGTGTGGATTTGATCACACGTGTGCGAGATGCAATGGCAAATGCGCAGGATTTACAAAAGAAAACGCAGATAGACAAAGTCGTCAAGGCAAAATGTATTTTATTGTTATAAATAATGTACTAAGTAGTACTGATAGGTTCTTAGTACTACTAAGTTCTTTCAGACAATGCGGTAGTGATCTTGGGAAGCCTGAGGCTAATTCTTCGCTCCATCGGTGCATACCGAGAAGTGTCATTTTAGGCTCATACGATTGCGACTACATAGCCACAGCTATGATACGAGGGTCAAACTTTGAACCTTTAAGATCGTCGCCTCAGCATCATCGGGAACTCCGGAACCAAACAAACGATCGTGAGACTAGCAACGTCAACAAGATGCAATTGGGTGCTGATTGCATTGGAGATTATACTGGGAGGAATAACCAAAGCGAGGTAGCTTGGCAAGCAGATCCATATCATCAGCGACAGCAGGGAGAGGTTTTAGAGTCTGCTCTAACCGCCAAAGCCGATTCTCGATTGCACTCCCAAGCCACGATTCATGATGCTATGCGAGATCGCCTCGCAGACGATCCGTCGAGTATCCTTCACGCGTTGTCGCGCTGGTGGCGGAAAGGAACCTCCACGGTCGGAAAAGGCTATTGGTGAAGTGGCTGGTTATCCAGCGAACAAGAATACGTGGGAGCCTCGTAGTCGTACACGTTACGACTATCGCTTTATCGTTCCAGCGTTCAACGCGGGTCCAAAACCGGACTCCGCTAAGGGAATCCGCCCCATCCTCTTCTTTCTTCCTCTCTCGTTGTGGATTCGACAAATGACCGCACGTGCTTCGTAAACATATTTAATATCGTAATGAACTCAATCCTGCGCTGTTAAATGGGCAAACCAAAAGTGCATATCACGTACCTTCAGCAATCTGCAGCGGTATTCACATTGCGCAAATGGTGGATATCCGCGGATTTGGTGGCACGAATCCATGCCTGTCGATTGTCGGGATGGGATCCCGATTGAATTGCTGGATGTACGTTACGTACACGAGGCTTCGTGGTCTGCCTCTGCACGGGTAATCGGTCCAATTGCGCGGAACTATGCAGTTTGAGTCATCCCTTAAGCTTCCAATAGACTAATGAGTTCATCAAACTGTTATGTGGTAACACTGTGTCGGTTGTAAATTCGTGACGACGATTATTTTTACGGTAGCAAAAATACACTAGACGACTGAACTCGTCGTTGGGGTTTTCATAACAGTCGTCATCCAATCAAACTGGTCGTTTGGTGCCAGGCTGGCCTAACGTGCGAAAGCGCCGTTTGACGTGAGATAGTAGCATCACCTGAGTTCGATGATGGCGAAGTTGCCCCTTCATCCTCGGACTAAGGTACGGTTCGGCTCTGCGCTCGTCGTCCGCGCAAGTCGTCTTCGATGCGCTGCATCTCGTGTGGGATCACAGATGATTGAGTCTTAGAGTAGGAAGTCAATGCAAAGTTGCAGACGCATGATATCAAGATGTTGTGATTCCTGGTTGACTCACTTCGTGTCCTATGGCTGGTGCTATCGACATTAATCAATGTTTGAAAGACCATTTTCAAGCTAAAATCAATGCGTGGAAGAGGAGTGACCAGGTGGCAAAATAAAACAGGGGGCAAAAAATAAAATGATGACCCAGGCCACCGCCAGTGGATCGGTGTGTTCGTGGATCCGCAAGGAGTGGGCACAGATCGATGGAAACTTTGTCGTCAATTCCGTAACTAGTGCTAATTTTCCGGACAAAGACGAATCAAAATATTGTTGCTCGACAAACTGTGTACGGTACGGTACGTTCTTTTACAAGACGCACGGTGACAGCAGTATGAATGCGGATGTTTTTAACCTTGACGTTCTTGACGAGACTCTCGATGAAATTTATGAATGTTCAAAGCATAAAGAACTGCAGCACTTCAGCTCAATTTTGTTTCACCACTCAGCATGTCCTCGAGGAATAAATCAAAACGCCTTCTGTCCAAACACGCAGTAGTTGGAGGTAATCTTCTGGATTTCTGACCATTTTTGATTTGCGAAAACCAAAATTGCTATTTCACTTTTTCATTGAAATATTCTGTTTTTCTGAAATTTAACGGATTTTTGGAAGTCTCGGTTGAAAGTAAAAAGAAATTTACAGATGTTTTAGCCAATCAGGGTCTGAAGGTGTATATGGTAGAGGTATAAACGCAAATCTCATAAAGCACCTACGAGGTATGCGTGTCGTTAAGGCTGTCCCGCCGAGTGCTAGCGGATTAAAGTAACATCCACGAGCTAATATTTTGCTTTGAATGCTTTGCTTCTGATAGAGAGCCAACTCATTGAGATTTTCGACCTGCGACCATGAGTACCAAAGTACAAAAGTTGATGACCCAGCCTATCAATCTGATGTTCAGATTTCTGCAGAATGTGCCTAAAATGACTTTATCAATGCCACGTATAAATTTTTGATCGTAAATACTGTTGTTGATTCGTACAGAAATCCCGCATTCAAGTATGGTTGTACGAGCAAGTGAACACAAGGATCGAGGGCCGTATTATGGGATTTGATGAATACATGAATTTGGTGCTTGATGATGCTGAAGAACTGGATGTAAAAAATCTCAAGCGCTCGCCACTTGGTCGCATTCTGCTAAAAGGCGATACAATTACGCTCATGATGGCCGTCGACTTGTCCAATTAACTAGTCAGCACAAGGTCCTATCATCAATAAACTTCTCGACACGTTAAGATTTTTTATTATCTAGCAGATCCAGCATTTTTGAGTACATCATTAGCCAAAGACCTTTGTAGTCAATGGTTGTAAATAAATGAATCAGGAAGAGATCTCAACTACTATAGGCATTGTTAAAGTGTCTCAAAAGAGCACATCCATCAAAACTATGCTCAGTCACCTCGTGAAAGCTCTGCACGAACGCACCGATGTCGTCCACAACACTAGTCAAGAGCGTCAGATGACAATTGTTCGGATAACTAGCGGACACGCACGCACCGTTCCTTGCCTACGCTCGTTCGTGGCTGCACCAACTTAAAACACTCTGGCAGCTTCTGTGTAAACATGTCAAACACACGTGACATGACATCTTTCATCTGTGGTGGAGATAAGATGGGTTTTAGCACAGCATAAAGCTTAAGGGTGCTTTGCGTAATGCCGCGCATTGGATTTGTCGGGATGGTTAGGCTTGCACAGTCATAGTCAATCTGAAGAAGCACATTTCGTCATATGAGTTTTTTGGATTAAATCTGCACTGATCACTGCAAAGCACCTGTGTTGAAATATTCTCCAAAAAACGATTCATGATTTGCTCCTCTACGATACTTGTGAATTTGCTAAATATTTTCTCATTATGTTCAGCGTAGTCGCGCGAGACACGGTCAAATTCGTCTAACAGAAGCTTCTGGCGATCAGTAAAATGAGCTGCAAGAGCGGCCTTGATGTGAGGAATTATGGTCATAGACAACTCTAATGACTGCGATGCCAAAGCTGCGATTCAAAAGAATAGATCACAACTCGTTTACCCCTAAAACGGATACATACTTAATTACCTAGATGCCTTGCAGAAATACTCTTAAGATTGGCAATTTGCATCGCACCAGCGCCAAGTACAAGCTGAGTCGTTCTTGAATTATATAACTTAACATTGACCAAAAAAAGTTGTAAGCAAGGCTCTGTACTGATGTGTGTGCAAGCAGCGTACCCGAAAAATTTCGATCGACCGCTGAAGCACGTCGGAAGCTAATACAGGAAAATTAGCGGCGCATGACATATAGTTCATAGTGATCTCCAACATGAGGAGGACCGACCATACAACACGAAACGTTTTGCCGCAAATGGATACCATTTTTCGCGGTGGTGCTGTTTCACCGGTAATCTCTCGGTCGTTGGAGAGAAGGAGTGCGACGCCTCGCCCACTAGAGAGATCATCGAGAGCTTTATGACGAGGTTCAGAAATTTCCGTATTCTTCCACAACTCATGGTCTAGAGTGGACACTAGTCTGGCAACCTGAATTTGATGATATTTTTCAAGAAACAACTTGAGCTGAGAAAAGAGAGATCCACGAAGTGTATAGTCGGTCTTGCCCATAAGCTTTTCAACACTAACGACGAAGTCCATCGTTGTGTCGTACAGCTTGCGCAATTGTGGCATCGTGTAGACAGCCTGAACTTCTTTCCTTACAGCAAATAAATTCGACACACTACGCTGTGAGAGCTCACAAGTCTTGCGCACAACCTCGTCGATTTCTCGAATCACTTTTGAGCACTTAGCCTTAATTTTCCAATCACTTAGCGTCGTATGTTCATCACTGGCATGTTCAAGAGGTGACCATCCCTCGGAAGAATTGGCTGCTTTGCATTTGACAACTTCATTAAGACTAACGCAAGATTCATTTCTGTTTGCAACATTGACAACCTTTTCCTCTTCCGTGGCCTCGTTCTTTTTGTTTTGCATGGAATTCACCAATATACTCTGCACTACGGTGGTACGCTTTAGAACCATAAGCAAATGGTCAAAGATCATCTGCACACACTGAAGAAATTCATCCGAAGTCAACGCTCGCAGCTGATTTGATATTTTCGACTCATTGCCGAGGGACGCGCCAAAATCAGAGTTACCGCCACTTTTGCTGCTCAACGACACTGCTATTGTTTCAGTGACTACCGTTTTCACAATGATGCGAATTTCTTCGTTTAGCTGCTCATAGTATGACTTGATAGTAATATCCAAGGCGTCTACACGAAATAATACATCCACAAGTTGTGTAATTTCCTCCTGTACATGAACCTTCGCATCGCTAAGGCTATTCTGACTCTTATTGCTTGATAAAGCCGACTCCTCTTTATCATGGAAAGCCCACTTATGAGATGTAACGATCGAGATAAAGCGCTGGGAAATTTGTGAGCTAATCAAGCCACGATAACCACGAAACTTGTCATGAAGTGAGCTTAGGCCATGAATGCTTTGTAAATTCTCCTTTAAAATTACTTGCGAAGTCTCAATCAAAGTCAAGGCGTTCGTGTAGTCTTGACATTGTACTAAGGCCTCGACAGCAGCCTCTGCATTCCTTACCTCCTCGATCATCGCGACTAAATTGTGGAGCTCCTTAATGCGTTTTTGACGTCGATGCAAGCTTACGATATCAAGAGTTTTGTCAGCAAGAAGGTTCCGCAGTCGTTTCATTGTTACCCTGAAAAAATCGAGCGATTATTAGCATGCTCAGGATGCTAGATGATAGTCATCATCACGCACCTCAGAGTTGCTACTTGGTCGCATGCAGCTTTAATCGACTGCTTTATCACTTCCTGGTCTGCTGATGCTTCAAAGAATCGATCTGATCGTGAAGACACTTGACGAAGTAATGTGAATTCTACGCGATCCAGATATGTTGTCAGCTAAACATGATTCAACCCCGAGTTACTATCTTCCTGTTAAACTCCACCACATATCATATTGCTACAAAAACCCACCTCTTCTTGGATGGATGTAGCGTGAGGCATAGTCATCACCTCTTCAAACATTTTCGGATTCGCCAAGTCGAAGCCTGGCTCAAAAAAAAGGGTTGGCACTGCTTTTAGACACTTGGCCACGTCCTCTGCAGCATGAAATTACGACAGCAATAAAAGTGGGTCGATGGAAGATGCACTACGTAAAAGTTGTCATGATTTACCATCCGCGACGGAGATTGATGGCACATTGCTTGACGAGAGCTGCTCGTTGACTGGTTTCAAATGATTTTCCTCATACTTAGCTGCTGCCATCCCAAACTGGCGTAAGTACGGTTGCAAGTCACGAATTGACACATCTGCAAGTCCCGGATATGGGGATAAAGCGATGTCGACATCTAAAGAAGGATATAAAGCGTCGAGTAGAGTGCCACCCCATTTGCTGGCTTTAGGGTTGGTGAGCACCGAGTACAAATTGTGATGATAAACCTGACAATACGTCTGCTCTTCTGCCGCTTTTCCATTAACCATCTCCTCGTCCGTGCATGTGCGGTTAATAAAATTTGTCGGGTTTGAACACCAGTTTGCGCTGACGCTCTCACGTGCAAATTGTGGCATGAGCTGTCCCACTTCCTGCGTGCGGCCAGCAATCGTTGTCCCGTCGGCTAAGCGCGTGGAGCTAGGATTCCGCACGTCGAAAAGGCTTGGGTATTCGGTGGGACTAGGAAGCGTCATGCGGCTTGGGTATTCGGTAGGACTAGGAAGCGTCATGCGGCTTGTAGGGATCACGACTAGCGAATTAGGCATTCCCACAGAATTGATCGAGTCTTTTATCACGGTTAACGGAGTCGATACGACGCCATTCCAACCGCGCTTTAGCAGCTCGCGGGGCGACAAAGTTCCCAGCGGCTTCTTAGCGCCATCGAGCCGCTGCTCCATTTTTCAGAATGCGAGCTCGTAACCGCCAGCAATGTTGCACGAAGGGAGCGGATCTACGTTCAGGATACATACAGTACACGACAAAAACTTCATTTCAATTTTTTTCACAAAATTTGACGCGGCATCTCAAGTGCAAGATTTAAGGCTATTACTTTTTTTTGAGCCTATAATGTAAGTAAAATGCATATTCAAATATAACTTAAATATAGTATTTTTATTGCAATAGATACCATAGTCTATTCTCAAATTCCTGCAGCGGGGCTGCCGTAGCTCTTTCGCTTTGAGGGAGCTAAGCTAAGGTCGATGACCTTCGTTCGATACTAGGACCAGTACGAGTGTAGAGGATCGCAATCCGCTTACTCCAAGAGTAACCACAACTTTAGGACTACGGTCACTCCTATCACGAGCAAATAATCTTCCTCGTCACTTACCCGTGAAGCCTCACTGCCCCGGACATGAACCAGCCCCATATATAGCAGTACTGTCAAACTCTGATAAAGATAAAATCTTATTCATATTATCCGCGCCTGGCTTTTTCACGCGACTTACCGTCGATCTTCAACCCCACCGCCTTACACACAGGTGACCGCAACACACGGTCGCTTTCACTCTCCGCGGACTCTAACCCAAGAGACAATAGATCAACGCTCTTATCTTTCTTTTCACCAGCGATACACTCTGAAGACCGTATCATACTATCGTTCTTACGTGTCAAAAATATACATTTGGAGAATCGATTCACATATTATTTTCTCATTCCATCCTAAAACCTCGACTTACTGTTTCTTCTCATTTCCGAGCTCTACTCGTTCTCCCGGACGCGGTAAAGATCACCATCTTTTTGAGAAATCTTTGAGCGGATGCGGCTTAAACTGAGACCTTCCGTGTCCACTGTACCAATTTTCAGGAAGCGGTTGGCTTTGAAGTCATTGCGTAGAGCAAACAAGCTGAATTGCCGTTATTATATTGACGTGTAACGGGGATTGTCAATCCGTGAGCACACACTGTCTGATGGAGGCTCAACATTCCTCAAAGGTTATTGCTTTCTTCCAGCAAGCCGCTGACTTACGTAGATGGGAGTGACATTAATTATTACAGCCAATAGGCTTCTGATTTCCATAACCAAATAAGTACAAATATACAGGGTGTATACCTAATGTGAGGTACAAAAGTATGTGTCCACACAAGATTTGAACTTACCAATGAAGGGAGGAAGAAGCTTCGAGCTTTCCAAGCTTAAATTGATAAATTCTTAATACTAATACGTACAAAATCCCCCACAATAAAAAAACATTTTGCCTTGACGACCTCGTCAATCTGCTTATTCCTTTCGCAGATCTTGTGCATTCGCCATTGCGTATCGCACCCGTGTGATCGCACTCACATGAGTCGTGATGAATATATTCAGGGCTTTTTGTACTTGCACATCACATGCGCATCTTTGATTCTATCAATTTGGAAGGCAACGATTTTCCGAGCTCCTCTTCCTCTTAAATTTAGAGACACCACCCATCGCACAAAGCGGTTATTGCGGATGTCGCAAGTCATCTATGATAAATGGCGTAAATTCAGTGGACGAATAAACTGAATTGTTTATTGTAATCTCAGCCAATGGTAATGACAAACCCCATTCCACGGATTCTTCGCACAGAAACTTCTCAACAAATCACTGACTACACGGTTGTCGTGTTATGTATGCCCGTCGGTCTCAGGGCGTACCGCTGTGGCTATATCCAAGCGAGTGCAGGAACTCAAAAACAATAATTTTTGATCGTGTAACACGATCAGAAACATTAGTGTCCGGTAACCTGTAGTTGCGAAAAACATGATCAATGGACAATTTTGCCGAACCTTCGACATCGATGGAATCGCTACACGGAGCGATGCGAACCATCTTGTTCATTCTACGTGCAACCCATTGTGGCCGTTGGCATTCTCGGAAAAGCCGAAAATAATGTCGAGACAGGCTGACTTTCAACAGTCAAGGGGAACAGGAGGACTCTACACTGGCACTTGCGTGTGCCTTGCGCTCCTCACGCGATGACAGACACCGCATGTCTTCACGTATCGTGCAACCGCTTGTTCATGTAGGGTCACCAAAATTGGGCACTAAAAGACGGTAGGTCCTCTCACAGCCAAAGTGACCGGCCATGAGCGTATCATACGCTTCGTACACTATCTTGCATCATTGTTGTGGAACCACAATTTGTGGCTCGTCGTCACGTGCAACTTCATAGTGAAGGAGACCATCCTTCCATCATAACGTTGCAATCTTGAATCCAAGCGACCATGAAGCTTGTCATGGAAATTCATATCACTCGATAAGAGTTCTCTAAAAATCAGATCACACTGTTCATCCTCGATACGCTCGGCGTATATATCGAATACATCGTTTTCGATATAACTGATATGAGCAAGTTCATGATCGGGACAACGTGACAATGCGTCTGCCAGCACGTTCAGTTTCCCGGGCTTGTACGCGACCTTGAAGTTGTATTCTGCAAAGAATGCTAAACCAGCGAGCCATTTGCCGTGTTAAGTGATGTGACTGAACTGTAAAACGCAAACTTGCGCAATCCGTGTAGACGACAAACAGACTTGAACGAAAGAACACGAAACTTCACCAGAGCATAGTTCGTTGCTAAAAGCTCCTTGTCGTGGACAGAAAAGTTTTTTTCTGCTGGCTTCAGCTGTCGCGATTGCAACATTTTGCAATAATGCACAATCGATTGCAAACTCAAACTCGTCACACACACCGCTATACGGTTTTGTATCATCTGGTAAAGCAAGCAATGGTGCTTTTGGAACGAGGTTTCACGTGCCCTGGTGTGAAGTGTGTCGGTCACACAAAATGTGATCATAAAATGGTGTGGTTTACACGAGACAATGTGACCATACAATGATTTGGCTACACTTAAACAACAAGTCAGTACGTGGCTAGAACAGCCAATTGTTACACATTTAATTGGGGTTTTCTATATTGATGGGAAAACCTATAGATTTGAATCTAGGCGGCTTTGCCGCAAATAAAACCGAGAAATCCAGTTTATATTCTAAACGGAAGAGTTTACTATCCTTGGGTTAAGGTTGAAGTTCCTCTTGGAGTAAGCGAATTGCAATCCACTACACTCGTACTGGTTCTAAGTATCGAACAAAGATCATCGACCTTAACCAAGCTTCCTTCTAAACGAAAAAGCAATCGGAGCTCCGCTGTACTTGGTAGCACTTGTAGTCAATCTACATTTAAGTCGTTATGACTGATCCTCTTTGAAGACGGAGCAGTGTTCCTGTTTGCCCCAGGACATTCAGGACCGGCTTAGCAAGCTGATGTCCATGCTTGGCCCTGAGGGCGTGCAACACCTTGCCTCGCAAGGACATGAAGAGATTAGCGCGCGCCTAGAGGCGTTTTCGGGCTATAACAATGCTTCGTTAGTGCACCTATAGCCGGAGATGTCAGTCTCAACTGTTTCCATGACGCCACCGTCGACGACGGTTGACATCTCTCGACCCAAGCCGCTCATGGTGAGCGTTAATACATTCGAGGACAAGGATAAAGATAATCTTCTGCTCTGGGTGAGAGAGGCCAAGATAATTTATAGAGTCCGCCATGTTCCAGATCGAGCGACAGCGCGTGGCTTCAGCTATCTCCAAGCTCAGTGGTCGAACAGGAAATTGGGCACTGACGTGCGGCACTTCGATCGAAGCGGCGTTTCCATACTGGACGGAGCGGAACCTGCAATTTTTTCGATTGTTCTAGCCGCCTAACCAGGCATATCGCGTGCGATCGTTTCCTTGTCGCCCGACAGGGTAAGAAGGAACTGGGTGGATTTTATCCGAGAGCTGCATACTCTCATTACCGGGATGACAGCCGATCCTCTCCCCGAGGCGATCATATTGACCATCTCAATGGAGGGCCTCCGCACTGGCGTGGTCAGAACGGAAGTCTTCCGTGTGCATCCGTCTTCTTTGAAGAAGCGGTGATTCTGGCATTGAATGCCGAATTCAACTTCAAGTCAACACATCTTGGTTGGAATCTCTCATCAAACAGGCCTGGGCCGATGAATCTCAACTTATGCTGAAATAGAGGAGGCAGAGCTCCGAGCTGCTGGGCAGCGTGTAAACATCCGAAACGTTTTGTCTGGGGAGACACCCGTCAACTTCGGACAGGTTGTCCCCTGCGCAAGGTGCGTCAGGATACATCGAACCGACGTCCCGCTTTTCATCAGTCTGGCTTGTCGTGAAAAACGACAAAACTCATTAGACGCGGTGCGCCCTACTGGGGAAGAACTAAGTTTTGTTGAGCTTCAAAGAAGTAGTGGGCAGCAGGGCGCAGCCCTGAAGGGCTCCGTGCTCTTGAACACGGAACGTGTATGCAAGACGGGCTTGCTGGTCGTGGTAGCGGCTGTGAAGTGCTTTGAGGAGCCACGGAATATCCTTATCGACTCCGGAACGTCGGGTAATTATGCTCGACGCTCTATGATAGAAGAAGGTCAGCTGTATTCTGCGACGCTGAACGCGCGTTTGAGTGACACCGTCACTGTTCGCTTAGCGTTGGGGACCTTTGTCACTGTGTCGAGGGTCCCTGTAAACCTCGGTATCAAAATTCTTGACTTTGATAGCGTAGAGCGCTGCCAAGTCTTAGACTTGGACGCAAGGTATGACCTTATCCTTGGTTGGAACATCATGAGCCACGGATCGATTGAACGCGCACGTCTCCTGGTAAGGCTTTGGTGTGTCAGGAACCCACCTTTGCTAGGAAGCAGAAGCGCTATCGGCGTGGGCACTGGACTTGTGCTGGATATCAAAGTATCCGAGTTGTCGAACACCAAAGGTGTTTTGGACACGAGTCCCGATCGTAGGTCGCGGGCTGAACGTAGAGTTGCACGTGAACCGCCAAGCGCTGCTTCAGTATCGGAGCAGTCGTTGCATGCCACGAGTGGTATGGTCGGCCAAGAGCCAAGCCATCTAGGGCGACGCCCCAGTGATGTACGTGGAGTGGC